CCCCCCCCCCCCCCCCCCCCCCCCGGCCAAAGCCCCGTGATCCAGGCCACTGGGTCTGGAGGTCGCCCTGGCAACAGGCTGTGTTGTGATGCTTCACAGAGCCAAGGGCTTGTTAGTCAGAGCCACACAGGAAGGTCCCCTCTGACCCTGGCAGGCCGGCAGGCCAAATCTGGACACTCCTGGGAATGGCCCAGTGACAGACCATTGTTGGGCCTTGTTACCAGACCAGGAGAAGAGCAGCTGGCCAAAGGAGAGAGAGGTGGGTCCAGCAGGGATCGGGGTTCCGAAATCATTCAATTAACAAACTGTGCTCAGCCAGCAGGCAAATCAGGCCTCGCCTCGGGTGGGGAGGAGGGTCCCTGTGTACCATGTGAGATGTGATATCAGAGGTGGCACCAGTACAGCTAGGACATGTCCTTCCAAATAGGCCTCAGCCCCTGAAGCCGTCCCCTTGGGACGTTGCTGCCCTTACACCAGTGATGAAGCCGGGTGCCTGCATTTCAGGACTCTGCATGAGGACGGCTTCAGATCTGGGCCGCTGTATTCTAGTCTTGCCTGGAATAGACAGTTCCCCTTTTCCCAGGCCTCAGTCTCCCCATAGCCTGCCAGCAGGTTGCCCAGGAGACCTGCCCCCATCACCCCCTCAGAGCCCATCTCCCTCATCCTGCTCCAGCAAGCAAGCCCCCACGTCACACTGAGCTTTGTCAGGGCCACCTGCGTCTCCTCACTTCCACATTACTGAGAATGCTATTCCAGTCCGCCATTCCTGCTACAGGGCCTGTGATGAAGGCAATGAGCGACCTGGGGCCCAGTCACCCCTCCCAAGACTGGATTAATGTCCCCGGGCAGTGGCCCCTTCCCTGCTGTGTCCAAACCTCCCCCCACAGCACACACACAGTTGCCCCTAGGGGCACGGTCTCGGAATGACTGGCCTCGGTGGAGCCACTTCCCTCCCTGAGTCTCAGTTTCCTCATCTGTGGAAGGAGGGTAGTGAGAGTGACCTCACAGGAAGGCATGCCACGGCAGAGTTAGCTCCCATGTTTCTGATCACATTTAAGGAATTATTTTTATTATTAACGTGGGTGTCTCTTGTTGGCCTTTTTAGGCTGTTTGATGAATAATTTGGGCACGGGTCAAACCCCACTTCCCTTGATCCCCCTGTGGGCTGAGGAGCTGCGGGGGTGGGCGGTGGGAAGCCACGCCCTCCAGGAACATGCCCCTCAACATGATGTCAGGAAGCGTGTCAACAGCAGCGCAGACCTGAATCACGAGGCCCTCCCCATCCCCTGGGAGCTCCGAGAATAGATCCAGAAGCCCTTCCCACAAGCGGCCCCCGAGCACTGGGAAGGCAGACAGGCCCCAGTTAGAATCCTGCCGATGACTCAGAGCAGGTCACCTGAGCTCCCCAACAACCCCCAGCCGCATCCTCACCCCTACCTTCTTCCTGGACTCCCCTCCGTGAATCTCCCCGCCCCAAGGCTTCCATCTCAGAGGGCCCTGTGGTTTCCTGCTGCCACGCTCTTTCTACAGAAAGGTTCGCCCATTTTTTTTTTACCCCCTCTCACCCTCTGCCTCTGGCAACCACCGATCTGTTTTCTGTATCTATGACCTTGGATTTTTCTAATTATCATTTTTTTTTTTAAAGATTCCACATATAAGAGAGATTATGCAGTATTTGTCTTTCTCTCTCTGGCTTATTTCACTTAGCATATACCCTCTAGATCCATCCATGTTGTCCTCAATGGTAAGATTTCATTCTTTTTTATCGCTGAATAATATTTCATTATATATATACACATATATAATGAATATATATTCTAATGAATATATATGTATATATGTATATATGTGTATATATGTATATATGTGTATATATATGTATATATATATATGTATATATGTATATGTATATACGTATACATAATGAATATATATGTATATATGTATATGTATATATGTATACATAATGAATATATGTGTGTGTGTATATGTATGTATATATGTATATGTATATATGTATACATAATGAATATATATGTGTGTGTATATGTATATACATATACATGTATATACATATGTATATGTATATACATATACATATATATATGTATATATACCAAACTTTTTTTATCCATTCATCCATTGATAGACACTTTGGTTGTTTCCATATCTTAGCAATTGAAAATAATGCTGCAATGAACTGCAGGATACATGTATTTTTTCAAGTTAGTGCTTTTGTTTTCATTGGGTAAATACCCAGAGGTAGAATTGCTGGATCATATGGCAGTTCTATTTTTAACTTTTATTTTTAATTTTTTGAGGGCTCTCCGTCCTGTCTTCCACAGGGGCTGCACCAGTTGACATTCCCACCCACAGGGCACGAGGGCTCCCTTTTCTCCACATCCTCACCAGCACTTGTTATTTTTGTCTTTTTTTTTTTTTAATTTTTTTTTTTTTAACGTTTGTTTATTTTTGAGACAGAGACAAAGCATGAACGGGGGAGGGTCAGAGAGAGGGAGACACAGAATCTGGAACCGGTTCCAGGCTCTGAGCTGTCAGCACAGCGCCCGACGCGGGGCTCGAATTCACGGACCGCGAGATCATGACCTGAGCCGAAGTCGGCCGCTTAACCGACTGAGCCACCCAGGCGCCCCGATTTTTTGTCTTTTTGATGACAGCTCTTCTGACAGGTGTGAGGTGGCATCTCATTGTGACTTTGATTTGCATTTCCCTGATGATTAGTGATGCAGAACATCTTTTCACGTGCTTGTTGGCCATCTGTGTGCCTTCTCTGGAAAATATCTCTTCAGATCGGCCCATTTTTTTAAAACAGAATTGTTTGGGTTTTTTACTACTGAGTGGTAGGAGTTCTTTATATATTTTGGATACTAAGTCCTTTATCAGGTATATGATTTGCAAATATTTTCTCCCATTCAATAGGTTTCCCTTTCTTTCTTTCTTTTTGTTTTTTTAAGATTTTATTTTTAAGTAATCTCCACACCCAATGTGGGGCTTGAACTCATAACCCTGAGATCAAGGGTTGCACGCTCCACTGACGGAGCCTGCCGCCAGGCTCAGGGTTTTCCTTTCATTTTGTTGATGGTTTCCTTTGCTGTGCAGAAGCTTTTTAGTTGGATGTAGTCCCACTTGTTTCTTTCTGCTTTGGTTCCTAGTTGCTCGGGCTGTTTCCTCTGCTTGCCTTCTCGGGGCTGCTGAGCCCAGCCACTGCCACCAGGAAGCGTGCCCAGCCTCCCCCAGCTGGAGGGGAGCTTTTCCTCAGCACCTTGTAGGTGGCACTTTAGCACATTTTTTCAAGTTGATTTATTTAAATTGAAAGAGAGAGAGAGAGAGAGAGAGAGCATGAGCAGGGGAGAGAGGCAGAGACAGAGGGAGAGAGAGAATCCCAAGCAGGCTCTGCGCGGTCAGCTCAGAGTCCGACGCGGGGCTCCGTCTCACGACCGCTGTGAGATCATGACCTGAGCCAATGTCAAGAGTCGGACGCTTAACCCACTGAGCCACCCAGGCATCCCTGTACGCATCCCTTTAAAAACTTCAAATAGGAGCTCCAACTCGGTGAGTGCGGTGGGAGCAGTGCCCTTCAGATGCAGCGTCCCGTCTTCTTCTGTTTTACAGATGAGGAAACTGAGGCTCAGAAAGGTTGAATAACTTGCCCTGGAGAGTCCGCCACCCTAGGACTCGAAGCACGCAGACACAGAAGTCCCTGTGCTTTTCTACACCCCCCCCCACCCCGCCCCCTGCGCATTCCCATTTCTGGGCTCTCCTGGTCTTAACCAGACAATTGAAGATAATGCCCGAAGGAAATCGGTGTTGTAAAAGATTAAAACTTAATCCAAATGACTCTCCAACTAACCAGTGACTCTTCTAAGTTTGTTCCTCCACACACTGTTAGCATTAATAAAACTCTTTTTTTTTTTTTTTCTGGTAGAAATAATAGTTCCTAAAACAAAATATCCTCAGTGACCTCAAAGACCGGAAAGAAATATGGAAGTCCGTTGTCCCCTCTTCATGAGCCTGGACCTGCTCCACACAGGGACTAGGCAAGTCCTGTGGGGCCCAGCTGACAGCTTGCCCAGCGCTAGGGACAGTGTGTGACAGCTGTGTTCACACAGGGCTCGGAGGGTGAGGTCCTTGCTCATTTTACGCTTACAGCAACCCAGCTATGTGGGCCCCAGTACCCTTATGCTGTGGGGTGGGGGGAGACCGAAGGTCAGAGAGGTTGGAGGTGACCCCACAGATCTTCCCAGCTCCATAACTCGGGTTCCCAGCCTAGCAAGTGGGGACCTTCCCTCCCACTGTGGCTCAGGACCTCTGCCTGGGAGAAGCATTAGGCCTCTAGATAGGGGATCTGCCTTGGATGGGCCTTTCTTGGGGCTCTCCCTCCTCCCAAAGGCCACAGAGCTGGCCTAGCCCCCAGCAGCTCCCAGACTGGTCCCTCCCCTGTGGTCACATGGATGGTGGCGCCCCACTGGTACACTGGAGGCAGTTATCGAAGGGAGAGTCAGGAGCCTGCGGTTCGGATCTTTGCTCTGCCACCTATTTGCTGTGCCATGACTCTGGGCCTCCCGGGGACTGTCTCCCTGGTAAAATGAGGGTGTGTAGGTGACTTGGGCAGGAGCACAGCGAGCCTTCCCTGGAAGAGAGCCGAGTCTGAGATCAGGGTGGAAGGGCAGACAAGAGAAGGCGGCCCCGGAGGCCAGGCCATTCCAGGTCTGGGTCAGGGAGCTGCATGAGAGCAAGGACGTGCTTATCGGTGCTAGGACAACCTCAGGGCACATGACTCCTCTCCTGTGGGTAGAAGGAAGAAGAGCTTTCCCCTTTGGAATGTAGCCCTCCGCCTCCCCCAGGCCACAAGACACAGACCTCCAGCATTTGGGCTGAATTAAGAGCCTCAGACATCAGCTGCCTCTGAATCACGGCTGTTCCAAGCCGAGCCGGGGAGGCACGTAGGAGCACATCCTGGACGGTGATTTTCACACCGTGTCCTATAGGCTCTGGGGGACCTCGGGTGTGCAGTTCCCTTTATGTGTGTTATATATGAGCCAGGGAAGTCACACGGCCAGAATGCCCTCTCTGGGCCAGGCTTGGTGCTGACCATGAGGATTCCGTGGAAGCCACGACAGACAGGGCTCCTGCTGTCGAGGTGTTTAAGGTCTGAGGAGATGACAGTGATCAACAAGAGCTCATACATGGGGGGCACGTGGGTGGCTCAGTCGGTTGGGCGTCCGGCTTCCGCTCAGCTCATGATCTCGCAGTCCGTGAGTTCGAGCCCCGCCTCGGGCTCTGTGCTGAGAGCTCGGAGCCTGGAGCCTGCTTCGGATTCTGTGTCTCCTTCTCTCTCTGCCCCTCCCCCACTCACGCTCTGTCTGTCTCTGAAACACAAATAACACTTAAAAAAAAATAAATAAATAGGGGCGCCTGGGTGGCGCAGTCGGTTAAGCGTCCGACTTCAGCCAGGTCACGATCTCGCGGTCCGGGAGTTCGAGCCCCGCGTCGGGCTCTGGGCTGATGGCTCAGAGCCTGGAGCCTGTGTCCGATTCTGTGTCTCCCTGTCTCTCTGCCCCTCCCCCGTTCATGCTCTGTCTCTCTCTGTCCCAAAAATAAATAAACATTGAAAAAAAAAATAAAAAAAAAAAATAAAAAATAAATAAATAAATAAATAAAGAGCTCATACATGTAACCTTATGTAGCCTGTCATGCAATTTACACACATCAACTCTCATGACAGCCTTCTGAGGTTAGTAAATCCCCCATTCACAGATGAGGAAATTGAGGTATGAGAGATAAAACGATAACCAGGCAGCTAGGACGTGACAGAGCAGGGATCTGAACCCTACCTATCTGTCTCCAGAGTTTGTGCTCAGGACTACTACGTTACACGGGTATATAAATAACCTATATAAAAAAACCTATGTGTTTCCCCTATAGACAGGGGAACCCGGCTAAGCTGAGGTTGGGTGGGGAGCATTGTCAACAGAAGCTTCCCTGAGGAAGTGATGCTTGAGTTAAGATGGAAGGATGACATTGAGAGACCATTGGGGTTTTTTTTTAAGTTTATTTTGAGAGAGAGAGAGCACAAGCAAGGGAGGAACAGAGAGAGAAAGAGAGAGAATTCCAAGCAGGCTCCACACTGTCAGCACAGAGCCCAACGCAGGGCTCGAAGCCACAAACCGTGAGATCACGACCTGAGTCGAAACCAAGAGTTGGAGGCTTAACCGACTGAGCCACCCAGGCGCCCCAACAGACAATTGATTTTTCACAGTGATGCCAAGACCATTCCCTAAGAGGGAGGATGGCCTTTTCAACGAACGGTGCTGGGGCAGCTGGATATCCACGTGCGGAGGAATGAAGCTGATCCCCTATCTCACACCATACACACAAATTACCTTAAAATGGATCGACAACCTCAATGTAAAGACTAAACCTCTTAGAAGAAAATAGTTGTAAATCTCTGTGACCTTAGATTAGGCAATAGTTTCTTGGATATCACGTCAAAAGCATAAGCAACAGAAAGGAAATTAGAAACATTGGAGGGGATCAAGATTAAATACTTTTATGCTTCAGAGAACACTATCAACAATGGGGAAATCTTTTTGCAAATCATATATCTGAAATATACATGAAATTCTCATAATTCAGTAATAAGACAAATGTGAACATAGGCAAAGGATCTGGATAGACATTTCTCCAAAAAAGGTACACACAGGGCCAACCAGCACATGAAAATATGCTCTGATGTCATTAGTCATCAGAGAAACGCACTCCAAGCCGCAGTGAGATATTGCTTCACAGGCACTACAATGGCTGTATATATATTTACAAAGAGATGTAATAAAAAACATTGATGAGTATGTGGAGAAATTGGAACCCTAATACCCTGCTAGTTGTACTGGAAAACGAAGCAGCCTCTGTGCAAAACAATCCGGCTGTTCCTCAAACGATTAAACCTAGAGTTGCCATATGATCTAGGAATTCTACTCCTAGGAATACACGCAAGAGAAATAAAAACATATGTCCGCACGAAAATTTGCACACGGATGTTCATAACAGCATTACTCATAATGGCTAAAATGTGGAAACAACCCAAATGTCCCTCAATTTATGAATGTATAAATAAAATGTGGTATCATCCATGTGAGGGAATATCATTCACCCATAAAAAGAGGACGAGGTGCATCATCTACTACGATACAGACGAATCTTGAAAACCTCACGCCAAGTGAAAGAAGCCAGTCACCAAAATGTAAGACTCCATTTATAGGAAACGTCCAGAAGAGGCAAATCTACAGACGCAGAAAGTAGATTAGGGGTTGCCAAATGGTGCGTGTGGGGGAGTTGGGGGGCAGTGACTGGTAAATGAGTACAGGGTTTTAGACGATGATGCAAATGTCCTAGAACTGATCGTGGTGATGATTACCCAGATCTGTGGACATACTAAAAACCATTGAATCACATGTTTTAAATAGGTCAACTATATGACATATGAATTATATGTCAATAAAGCTGTTATTTTAAAAAGAAGGAAGGTTGAAGAGGCATTAACTGTGGACATGGAAGGGGCTGGGGCTTGGGGCACGTCTTCTAAAGTAAGGGGACTGTACGTGCAAAGGCCCTGTGGCTGGAAGCCTGGTATGTTGAAGAAAGCAAGAAAGACCAAGTGACAGGAGCTCATAGGGCAGAGGGGGAAGAGGGAGGAGAAAAGGCCGGAGGGCCAGCTGGGCTGGGTTGCCCAGGGTCTTGGGGACTATGGCACGACCTCAGGTCCACATAGAGACAGAGGAATGCAGCTCCCACAATGGTGCAGATGATGGCATTATGGCATGTAGTTCATCAGGCTCAGGCTATCCTGCACTTCCCTCCTCCTGACATCTTCCGTCTGCCTGGGGGACCCTAGGATAGGATGTGCATTCTGGAGGAAGTGTGGGAATCATCCGAGTCAGAAGTCTCTGCGGATGATGGGCTTTGTGGCAGAGCCAAGGTTTATGTCCCAGCTCTGTGACTGCTGTGGGGCTTTGGGCTACTTTTTCCTCTTCTTTCCTCTTCCTTCCTCTCTCTCAGAGCCCCAGTTTCTGCATCTGTATAGTAACAGCTCTTCCCGGTCTACCCTCCTGAGAGGGCTGTGGCCAGGGGGGTCCATGTGATGGCGTCCAGTGCTTTGCAAAAAAAAAAAAAAAAAAAGTTTAAAAACGCAGACAAAGGTCATTGTCTATCTGCCGCCAGCTGCCTTCTTTCTGAATTCCAGGGTCCGCAGACAGTCGGCAAGGCTGCCGCACCCCCGCTCTGGGGACCATGGGTTTTTCTGAGGAGCTGGCTCTCATCCTGAGATTGGAGAGAAAGTCTCCGGCCTGCACGCTGTTCCTCCCCAGCTCCAGGGCATCGGGGTTGGGGTGGGGGGGGGGGGGTCAGGGAGTGGGAGAGCTGGGAGCGGACAGGCTGTGTCCATGTCCTAGGAGCTGACTAATTGAGGGCGGGGGGAGGCCAACTGTCCTGCGAGGCAGAGCTGAGCGTGGACTCCCGGGGATGAGCAGAGTCTGGGGCTTCGGCAGCTGGAATCTGCTGGCTTGCTCTTTGAACAAACACTGAGGCCCTGTGTGCAACCTTAGAGATCATGCCTGTCTAATACAGGCTCTGGATTAGAGGCAGCTGGGGCCCGGCGTCAGGGAAGCCTTGCATAATGCCTCCCAGTCAGTCAGGGGCAGAGGAAGACAAGCTGGAAAAAGTCAGAAGGGGAAGGGGCTTGGAGGCCTTCTAATCTAAACGTCACACTGCGCGCACGGAACGGGAGCCCATAAAGCTGATCCGTGATTAGAGGGACGGGTCCCCCCGTGGATGGAAAGATGGGCCCAGTGACCCAGGCTGCTCCCAACGTTTCTGTTGTCCTGACCCCTGAGGCCTCCTCCCCAGACCCTGGAGAGGAAGACACCTGGGGCCTCTTCCCAGTGTCCCATTTCTAGTCCTAGTCACCCCACCTTACACTCCCCTGCGATGGCCTTTCCCACCCACTCCCCGACCCCTCCTCCCCGTTCAGTGCCTGACGCGGGGCCTGCATTCCTAGGGTCAGGCCCCGAGCCCAGGATCTGGCCACCATATAACAGCGCTTTGTGCGTCCCAAACAGAACCTGTCTCTGGGCCCTGGCACCACTCCCCACTCTCCAGTCTCCGTTGGTGATGGACACCATCACCCACACGGTGCCCAAGCCAGCCACACACCTGGGGCCACCTTCCCCTGACTCTCCTTCATCTCTGAAACAGCCCCTGCCCTCGACAGGGTTCCAGTCTCCTTCTCTCTTGCCTACGTCCCTAGTGCCCTCTGAGCCTCCCCCTCATCTGCCCGCTCTGGTCCAACCTCCTCCCGGGAGCCAGAGACACATTTGGGACACACTGTTCTGATCATGCTCCTCCTCTCCTCAAAACCATCCCATGACTCCCCAGCACCCTCAGGGGAAAGCCCAGGCTCCCTAGCCTGGTGTTCCAGGCCCTTCCTCATGTTCCGCTGGTTCCTGCTGACGTGGCGAGCCCCTGTACTCCAGCCGTCTATCCTCGTTGGAGACAGACTCCCACCTGGGCTCCCGCCTCCAGACCTTGGCCCCCAGCTCGCCCTACCCAAGGCTTTCTTCTCTGCTAGTCTGCCTGGCAAACACCCACCCATTCTTCAAATATCACGTCCCCAAAGATTTTCCCACAAAGAGCCTTGACCCCTCCCTCACTCTAGGACCCTATCCCACTGTATCCCGTACAGACCTTGATCTGAGCCCCTGTGACACAAAGCTTATAGCCCTCTGCCCAGCCTGGGAGCCTCTCAGCCCAGGGACCAGATCTTGTTGGGCTGGGGTGGGGAAGGGAAAGCAAGGGAGGCAGGCAGGAGGGAGGGGAGAGGAAAGGATTTATTTCAGGTTCCTGCTTAATGCCTCCTCCCCCAGGAAGACGGGCCGACAGCCTCTTGCTTGCATTTCTGCTGGTGCAGTCACTGTTACTCGGGTTCACACAGTCTAGAATAAGCCCCGGGCCCTGGACGAGCATTTAGGCGGCACCTTGTTTTACAGATGGGGAAAATGAGGCACAGGGATGAGCAGCCCCCCTGAGTGTCATTCTACCAGATTGGAGCAGAGCCATCTGTCTGACCCCAAACCCCATGCCCATGCCCTTTCCCTGCTCCTGCTGCCTGATGTTGGCACCTCTGGGTCCTGGGAGCACATCATAAAGGGGACTCTTCAACCCGGGAGCCCCAAGCCACAGGTTCCAGCCCGATGGGGCCAGTGGGGGCCTGGGAGCAGGTGGTGGGGAAGGGGCCTGAGCCTTGCGATGCACGCACACTGGGCTGACCCCTTTCCATCTCACTCCATCTCAGCCAGCCAGGACTATTTGTGCTTGGACCCCCTGATCACAGCTTCCACCACACTCTACAGAGCGAGGCCTCTGGGGCTTGAATCCCAGCCTTGGCAAGTTGTGAAAACGCTGTCACCTCCCTGTGCCCCGGCTTCCTCCTCTTGGAAATGGATACTTCACAAGGTTGCCTTAAGGGCTGTGTGATTTCAATGAGTTGATTGGAGCCAATCGCTCAGCAGGGCACAGGGCATTAAAGGACCCCCAAGCTGGGATTCCCTTCTCCCCTGCAGGCAGAGTTGCAGGCAGGGAATGGGGGAGGGGGACAAGGGCTGCCCCCGCTCCCCCACGCGTCTGCTTTGTGTCATCCCCGGGGCTGGCTCATCACAGGGCTGTGTGGCAGGCATGTTTACATTCCCGAGTACCCCAGACGACAGCGGCTGATAAGGATGTCTCTGGTCTGGGAGCCTCCGCAATGACTTTATCTCCCTAGATAGAGCTGGCTGGCCCCGGTTGGGGGACGGAGGGTGCCTTCGGTTGCTGAGAAGCCTCCGAAACCATGTTTGCGCAGATGTAACTGAGTCCACCTGGCTCTGGTGGGGTTTCCCGGTCTGTCCTCCTTGACCCGGATCCTGCCCCCTGTGCCTTCCGCCGCCGCCCCCCCCCCCCCCCCCGTCAATCGCCCTTGACCAGATTCTGACAAGCCTGCCCAGCCTCACTTCTCTTCTTCCTGCCTCTGGGTCAATCTGGGAGCAACCTGAGGGCAGCGTCTCCCGGGGACCCATCCCTGCAGGAAGCCGGGCTTCTCACACTTGATGTCCAACCAGAACTGACCCCTTTTCAGCCTCCCTGAAGCACACTCCTCCCCTTCTCCCTTGACCAAGTCAGAGACTGGAGCCATGTCTTGGGTCTTGTCCTTTCTCCCCAGCCTCACACACCTGCACCCTTCTAAGGAACACTCCCTCTGTGCCAGGCACTTTCGTTAATCCCCGGGCTCCTGGGAGGTACTGTTATAATTCCCATCACAGAGGCTGGTGACCCGCCCAGGGGCACCTGGTTGCAAGTGACAGAGCTGGGCTCAGTGGTGGGCAGAGGACTGACTCCAGGTTCCACTGAGACATCTCGGGGGTGGGAGTGGGGTGTGGGAGGAGCTTACTTAAACCAGGCTGGGGTGGCTCACAGGTTGCCGGGGAAGCGGGAAGGCTGTTCTTGTTACTCAGTGCTGTGTATCTAAAACCTAAGTGCTTGAAACAAGACATTCATTTTGTTCTCAAATCTGCATTTGGGCAGGGCATGGAGGGGATAGTTCATCTCTGCCCCACTTGACATTACCTGAGATGGTTGCAGTCAGGAGCAGGAATCATTTGGAGAGTCGTTTGTGCACATGTTGAGCACTGAAGCTGGCCTAAGGTGGAGACCTTAATGGAGGCTGTTGGCCCAGAGCACCTACAGTGGCCTCTCCGGGTGGCTTGGGCTTCCTCACAATATGGCTGGTGGATTCCAGAAAGAGACAGAGACAGACAGATAGAAGCCTTATCACATTTTAAGATTTAGCCTGGGAAGTTAATGTAGTATCACTTTTGCTCTATTCTGTTCACTGAGGCAGTCACAAAGTTCTGCCCAGTGAGAAGAGGGGCAATAACCCACATCTCTTGGTGGAGAATGACAAGGCTCCAGTATGTAGAACTGGAAATCTTCCTGAGGCCACATGTTTTGGAAGGTATGCTCTGCCACAGGGACCTCCTCCTCTGACCTCTCATTGACTAGTCCCAATTTCCTGACCTGAGAAGACAACTCCAGAGGCTCAGTTGATACTTCTCAACTTTGGAAGCATGGTCCTAAGTGGTGGGAGCGGGGGGAGACCATGAGCCGCCATTTACTCACTGTATGCTGGGCCCTACCTGGGCATAGCGGTCCACACCCCACTATGATCCTACTTGATGGTCAATGAGGTGCCCATTCACCAGGTAAGGGAACAGAGGTTGAAAGAGGTGAGGTGACCACCCAGGCTACAAGGAGTCATCGGCAAGGCTGGAATAGAACCCAGGTCAGGTCAGTGTGGCTCCAAACGTCCTGTTCTTACCCTTGCACAAGCTGTCCCCAGGCTCAAGGTAAGGAAGGGGTGAGAGGGTGAGGGACTAATAACATGGGCTTTGGGATCAGAACAACTTGGGTTCTCACGGAAGCCCTTTGACCCTGGGCAGGTTACTTCACATCTCTGAGCCTCAATTTCCATATCTGTCCAATGGGGTCATAACCTCTATGTCACTGAATTTCTTTTTTTTTTTTTTTTTCAACGTTTATTTATTTTCGGGACAGAGAGAGACAGAGCATGAACGGGGGAGGGGCAGAGACAGAGGGAGACACAGAATCGGAAACAGGCTCCAGGCTCCGAGCCATCAGCCCAGAGCCCGACGCGGGGCTCCAACTCCCGGACCGCGAGATCGTGACCTGGCTGAAGTCGGACGCTCAACCGACTGCGCCACCCAGGCGCCCCTCTGTCACTGAATTTCAAAACAAACCAGTGAAATAAAGTAATCTCTCCCACCAGCTTGGCACAGCCTGTGGCATGTCATAAATGAACCCGGAGCCCTCCTTACACAAGACCCGCGCATCTGTGGGCCAGAGTGGGTGGCGGCTGCCTGGGGAATGGGCATTCTGTAGCTCACCAAGGGGGAGCCCCCGGCGCCCGGTGGCTCTGTGCAGGCAACCACAGAACCACATGTGGGGTTTACCACGGTCTGGCCAAGGCCGGAAGAACAAGAAAACACATCCGATGACGGAGGGTGGGCACCTGAGGTCGGAATGGGCCCCTGCCCTTTCTGGCATCTCCAGGTCGATTCAAACAAAGTAGGAGGGCGGTGTTTCCTCATCTGGAAAATGGAGACGATCACAAGCACAAAAGCCCCCCTTTTGGGGCTGCTTACCGTGGGCCTGATGCAGATAGAGCAGCTCACCTTGTGAGCTCAGGGGATCTCACCTGACCCCGGCTGAGAGGGACGCCGCGGGGCAGGAGCAGCTCAGATAGAAGAGGCAGCAGGAGCGCGACCAGGCTGGTCCTTTTCACCACTCTGCTCCTAGCCTCCCCAAACGCACTGCAACGAGTTTATAAGGACTAGCCGAATTATGGACGTGGGTATGATTTCAACATTGTAAACTGGAATGCAAACAGAGCGGGCCCAGGGACAACCTAGGCTTCGACTAGAACTGTGTTCTATGAGGCTCTCCCCACCTCCCTGACCCTGGCCTTCGCCATGTGTCTCCACTTACCCATCTGTTTTCTGGACAGGGGGTCCTTGTGAGATGTTATGTTGGCTCTATGAAAGAGAGAAAGAGAGAGAGAAGAAAGGAAGGAAGGAAGGAAGGGAGGAAGGAAGGAAGGAAGGAAGGAAGGAAGGAAGGAAGGAAGGAAGAAGGGGCGTAGAAAACCACTGAGGGGTGGACTGAAGTCCCAGGGTGGCAGGAACACTCCCCAGGGCACACAGTGGGCGCTGAGGCCCCACGTGTCCCAACGCCCTCACCAGCCTGGTCCACAACAGTAGCCCCGGGAGCCTCCGCCCACTTCTCAGAGGCCAAGCCTCAGGCCGTCTGCTTCCTCACTCACATGGGACCTCTGACATCGGTACTTCTCAGGTCCAGGAAACCATGCTCCTGAAAGAGCCACTCAGAAGCCCCGTAATCCCCCAAGAGGAAAGAAAAGCAAAGCAAAGGACAACAACGGAATGTTTGTATGTGCTCATACCTGCAGTTATATGCACTCATGCACACTGGGCATATCACACATGTGCAAGGCACACATGATGCACGAATCCACCTGTACACACACACTTGTAGATCTACACGCACACGTGTGCACAAAGACGCAAAACACTTATTCCCCCGGGCACCCACGCACACACGCCACACCTATCCGTATTCCTACATTAAGGTGCACCTCCAAAGTACACACACGCCTTACATGAACATACACACATGTCTCATACACGCATATGGATTACCATCAGGCACAGCATGTATTTATGCAAGAAAGCACAAATGTGCACAAACATACATACATATATATACATATATATATATATATATATATATATTTACACACACCCAATCAGCATACGCTTCCACGGACAAACAGATACATATATTCAATATACTTGCACCACGAAAGCGTATATATCAATGGACGCTCATGCAAACACACCCATTCCCATACAAATGTAAGTGCACATTTATGCTTCATGTCTACATAGGCATACACAGCAACACACAACACAGATACACAAGCATCCGTAGCTACTCATCCCCGCGGTCCACACATGCGTGTGCAAACACACGTGCACGCACACTTGCATGCACACGTTTAAGCTCCACACTGCACGCCAAGCGTGCACCCTGCCTTTTCGGGCTCCATTGTCGCTGAGCGATCCTGCAAAGATGCAAACACCTAGTTCCACTTCACCTGAAAACCCCCAGCCCCTGGGTGTGTGGGAGGGTAAGCCAGACGCCCTCCCTGCAGGGGGCACAGTGGAAAGTATGACCCAAGTTGACTTTTGCAATAAGAGCAGAGCTGAGGGTTTTTTCCACCCTGTTACCTCACTGTGTCAGGAGGTGACCAAGGCCACCACTGCTAACCCGCCTCCCATCCCCTCAAACCTCACGGGCGTTCGGGCCCAACACCAGAATTCCGTGTTTTTAGTTTTCTCAGCAATGAACTCACCAACGCCTGACTCCAATGTGCCAGGCCCTGGGCCAGGCATGTGGGGCTGAGGGAAGAGCTGGGTCTGGGCCCTCCTTGCAGGGCTCACAGTCGGGAGGAGGGGTGGGGAGGGCTCTAGGTCAAGTCCTTTAACGTGTATTCACTTGATGGCCAATTTGCCAAGTGATCGATCTTTCTAAAGACTGGTTTGCTGAACACATCACCTTATCAATTTAGCGTTACTTTTTTCTTTCTGTTCAGAAGTACACAGCAATTTTATTCGATGCATTGAAACTTGTTTTCATTTTGTCTTTGGAACAGGATCTCAAGGAATATTCAGATGTTCAAAAGCTGAGGGTCAGGGAGCGGTTTGGGTTAATAAAGGCACTTACTAGTTATAACTGGAGCAGGGCGTTCTGGAAGCCCTGTGGCATGGCAGGATTCACGGGACCCCCGGCCCCCAGATGCATGTGACCTGTACCTGGGTTCTCACCTGGCTTCCCTGTGATCCTGGCCAGGTCCCTCCTCCTCCCTGATTCTCAGCTGCTTCACATACAAAGAGCTCATCTTTAGGGCCTCGCCGACAGTTCATGAGACCCTGGGGCTCCCTGGGACCTCCATCTCCCAGTGTGGCCTGTGTCCAGGCCCACGGGATGCAGAGGGTGCTGACTCTGTTTGGGGTGGCCTAGCCCTGCTCAGAAGTCAAAACCGTAAGTCTGCACTCACCCATACTGTGTGAACCGTGACATTTCTGGGTCCTGTCCCCAGCTCCAGGCAGAAGGGCCTAGTGTGCTGTGGGGGGCAGTGGGGGAGGAGCGTGGGGCTGCAAAGGGTGGGGCGCAACTAACTTTCCTTTCCTGGTAACACGCTCGCTCGCTAACCTCATTTCCTTTTTCTGAAAGGAAATGCCATTGACATCACACAACTGGATTTTCAGTGAGGCCCAATGAGAGCTCATGACCCCCTCTCGGGCAAGAAGGATGCACGTATAAGGCGGGGCGCAAATCTCTCCGGAGTGGACGATCTCCGTGAGCTTCCCCCACCTCCATCTCCCCCTGATTTGCCCCCCTTTGCTCCTTCAGTGCTGAGATTACTTGCCCCCCGCCCAGATGGTAGAACCTTCCTGCACTCGCTCACACTATTCCCTCTACTGAGAACTCTTCCTTTTACAGGCACATTCCTGCCGAAGTTCACCCCTAGGGAGTCAGCTCTCTGGCTCTGCCCCCATCTCCACCTTGGAGGGAACGGATCCAAGTCTCCCTCTCCACTTCCCCAGCAAGGACATCTCACTGTGGAAACCTCTAAGCATGCACAAAAATACTCACACACACAAAATGCCTCTTCTTCACTCAGCTTCCACCCTTAGCACCTCAAGGTCACTCTGGTTTCTCTGATAGCCCCCAACTCCTCCCCTATTGGATTATTTAGAGCAATTCCAAAACATCAAACCATGGTATCCATAAATATTGCAGCGTGCGTTTCTGAAAGATAAAGGCGTGAACAGAACACCGTTATCATACTTAAGTTTCTACAACAATTTTTTATTTTCATCCAATATTCAGTAGTGTTTACACTTCCCCAACTGTCTTGTAAATGGCCTTTTAAAGCTGGTTTGTTCGAAATTCAGGATCCAAACAAGGTCTGTACATTTCACTTGGTTGCCGGGTCCCTTAAACTTCTTTCAATTTGTAGGTTTCTCCCCCTCCCCTCTTATTTTTTTCTCATGTTCATTTATTCAATAAACCAGGTTGCTTGTCCCCTGTAGTTTTCCCCGTCCTGGACTTTCTCCACCGCATCCCCCATGGTGTTAACATAGTCTTCAATCCTTCCCCTTTCCTGAAAATTGGCAATTAGATCCAAAGGCTTGATTAGATTTGATTAGATTTGGATTTGATTAGATTTGGATCCTACTTCATAGGAGGAGCATGCACTTTCCCCCAAAGGCACGCAGTGTTTGGTTGTCTGTCTGTCTGTCCTTTCGGAAGACTTTGGTGATCGTCGCCTAGACCCACTATTTGGTTAGAGATTTGCAAAACAATGATATTGTAATTTTATCGATCCTTCTCATTTACTAGCTAGAACACTTCCATTGAAAGAAACTACCCTCATCGGCTCTGGGTTCTCTGAGGTACAATTTATTTAGGAAAAGTGGGATAAGTATTGGATGCTTGCACCATGTTTATCAATTTTCAGAATAACGAGTTGGTTCTCTAACATCTTCTCCAAAGATGTCCAACAAGGATTTTGTTTGTTTGTTTTTAGTTTAGTTTTTTTTTTTTTTTTTTTTTTTGTACCATGGTTGTCTCATAGTTTCTAATACAGTTGCTATTTCAATCCATTTCGTCATTATCCTTGTCATCACTCAAAGTGTCCCACATCTGGCCAGTGGGGACCTCTTTAATGGGTGTCTGAGCCCTTCTGACCTGAGGAGTGTTTATTAACTCCCTGACTTTCTAGTATGACAAATGTTCAGGTTTGCCTTCTGCATTTTCTGCCCAGACAGGGAATCAGCGAGTTCTCCAAGAGGCTGTGGTTCTTTTAGTGGGAAATGGTA